AAATTAAACATTGAAGAACAGTAAAATTTATAATGAATATGTGTGCATATATTAAGCAAAATGCCCCTCTCTACAGTTTATTTTTCTATCTGACTAATGAGTTTATGGTCACCGAATAACTTGTTTTTTTCTGAGGTAAATGTGACGTTACGTGACATTGTTTACAAGACGTTATATTGTCTTTGCGTGGCTGAAACACTGATTGAGTGATTACTTGAGACAGGATACGGCTTGTAAAGTTGTACTATTTCTTTTAACTTACCTTCGGATGTTTAGTCATGTTTATTTTGTGCTGAAACAGGTATTAATGTGGAGGAGATGATTAGTTCACGTGCGCTATGCGCTGCTGCGTCTGTTGAACTGAGGCGCTACAGCGATTTGTCACTCCACATTAAACAGTGCCAAAACGGCATTTATTGTTTGAATACTGCAATACAATGGACAGAATTTGAAATCTGAGAATTTGTTTCATATTAAAGCCAAAACGACATTTATTGTTTGAATATTGCAATACAATGGACAGAATTTGAAATCGGAGACTTTGCTTCATATTAAAAGTACCAAAGCACAATACTTATTGCGATATATTGGGTGGGAAGTGCCCTTCAACGTTCCGCCCATTAACTGAAAACAGGCTAGACTAATCGATTCTTGGGATTTAAGAATCGATATCGTTCTGTAAAAATGAGAATCGATTAATATCGAAATATCAATATTTTTTACCCAGCCCTAAAAAATAGGTTATGGTTATCTAGCATATGAAGTAAAATGCAGCTGAATATACCTTAACTCAAAACTGCATACTTATTTATATCAATAATTGTTTTGTACACACTACCATTCAAAAGTTTGTAGTCGGTAAGATTTTTTTATGTTTTTGAAGGAAGCCCCTTATGTTCACCAAGTCTGTATGTATTATTTAATTATTGTTCCAAATTAAAATAACTTAAATAACAAAAAATATTTTAAAATGTCATTTATTCCTTTGATGGCAAAGCTGAATTTTCAGCCACTACAAACCTTTTTTGTTTTTTAATCAATGCTGAAATTGTGTTGCTTAATATTTTTGTGTAAACTGTGATACATCCATTTTTTCTGGTTTCTTTGATTAATTGAAAGTTCAAAAGAACAGCATTTATTTAAAAATAGAAATCTCTGGCAGCATTATAAATGTATTTACTGTTACTTTTGAAAAAAATAAACAAATAAATAAAAATAAATAACGTCAGTCAAGTGTTTTTTCAATAGTAAGATTTTTAATGTTGTCTTAAATAATTCTCTTCTGCTCACCAAGCCTGCATTTATTTGATCCAAAATACAGCAAAAACTGTAAAATTTTGAAATATTTTGAAATATTACAATGTCTATCTGTGTTCCCACCAACCAAACACACTGAACTCTTAAGTCAAAATGAAAACATGTAGTGAGAAAACAGCCTAAGCCACAAGTTTCTTTTAAGAAGTACGAAACTCACCCAGTCTGTACTTCTCCTTCGCTTCAGCACGCTCTTTTGCATCAAAGTACCAAACAGTGATGGCGTAGCTGTGGGAAGAGAAAAATTCATTCAATCAGACACTCTGATGACCGTGTATTGATCTGATTAACTCAAGGCAGAGGTTTAGGAACTGTGATATGGAGTCTGAGTCATGTGGATCATTGTTAGGATAAAGCACAGAAAGGGTTAACACTAGTAAAGTGACTAGTTTGTTTATTCCTGGCTCTCTCCTACCGGCACGAGCGCACAAACTGAAGCGAGCACAAACCACTTGCAAGCAGGAAGCACGTACTTCCTGCGTCCCACCTCGCCCCCCAGCTGCGATGGGGGCTGATACACCATGACCCTCATCCTAAATGTAGAATGTAATGTAAAACGTAAACGGCAAGAGCTTCTTTTGATTGTTTTACTAGAAAAGGATGGGCTAAAAATACAGCATTTAATTTGTTTCATCAAACTCATTTAAACACAGAGCGTCTTCCTGAGGAAGAGCAGCTGCAGGTGCGGTGGTTAAAGAGCAGGATCAAATCAAACCGTAGTGTTTGTAGCGGTGTGAGAACAATGGCGGTGGACGAGGTCAGACGAGTGCACTTGTGTGTGTGTGTTTGGATAGATCACAGTCCATGAGATGAGAGGTTGCGAGAACTGTAGGACTGCGGTTTCTACCACATGACATTTTACAGCCTAAAATAACTTTGCCCTTTCATAAAAAGGTCAAATTATCTGATATTTTAAGAGACGTATTGACCTGGACACACAGTCATGGGTCCTCTCTATGATATAATTTTTCTGTTTTCTGGTTTTTCTACAAGTTTCTGCATTTGGTCACACCACATGACTGAGATTTGACAGAATGCTTGTAATACAGTTCCATTCGTCACACCCAAAGAAAAACTGTAGTGCTTTACAACTACAGGACAAGAAGAGCTAAATAAACTTATCCCTGCATCTAAGCCAACAACATGTTTATTAGATCCTGTACCCACTAAATTACTGAAAGAGTTGTTACCTGTAGCAGAAGAACCACTTCTCAATATTATTAACTTGTCGTTATCTCTAGGTCACGTCCCAAAACCATTCAAGCTGGCGGTTATTAAGCCTCTTATTAAGAAACCACAACTAGATCCTAGTGAACTGGCAAATTACAGACCCATCTCAAATCTTCCTTTTATGTCTAAAATTTTAGAAAAAGTTGTGTCTGCTC